GTATATGTGGCTGAGAACATGCTTAGTGAAATCATATAAAAGTTGTTCAGATAGGAATCAAGCAGTTACTGCAGCAGTTCTGGATATGTGCAGAGAGGTGGAAGCTTGATTATGAAATGCTACAGCTTAGCCATTTAAAACAGATTTTTCTCTAGAAAAGGGGAAACCCCAGAGATTAATGTGTAATTCTACTATTTTATTTATTTTTACTATTTTACTGTGAGACTAAAGGCTGAAAAATGCTTTAAATAAGGCCATTATAATGGCAATGCCATCCATTCTATCTCTACAGATAAATGAGTGACCTGACTGCCCAATCAGCTTGTAAAAGCAGTTCCACAGTGACACTGCCCTCCCTGCCCAGGGCTGCAGACATCCAAACAGCAGCCTCTAACCATGAAAATAAAGGTCTGGTATCACGGGACCTCTCGCCTAAGGACCTGAGAGTGTTTGAAATTACTTACTAGCCAGCTGCCATATTTGCAGAAGGTGGGTGCCAAAGACACACACCTACCTTTGCAAAGAAAGAGCAAACACCCTGCACAGAATCACACTGAAGGCAACGCTCCTTACTCTCCCACAAAGAAACTTTGACCTGTCCTGTGTAACTAATGAGAAGGCACAGTCATGCCCTCAAGAGCCTCTACCATCATGGGCAGGCAAAAGGAAGGAATGGCTTTTTTAGTACCAAAGCCAAATGAGAAATGCATGATACTTTTCCAGTTCCCTGGCATGCTCTCCCTAGATATTAGCATCTTTATAAATCTCTTTTAAGAAAGATAATTGGAAGCAACCAGATGCACTTCTATTAAAGTAGTAAAAACCCCCAAACTTGCTAAAAAGAAGCTGTTGCTATTTTTATTTATCAAATTAATACAGAAAAGAAAAAAAATCTTAGGTACACTAGCTGTGAATTAGAAGAGAGAGCTTATATAAAATACTACTTTGAACACAACTGAGAAGAAATACAGCTAATTTTTGTGCAGTAAATCCTAATGGTACCAATTTTGTTTCCTTTTATTTTTCATGCTTGCTTTTCATTGGTTAGGCTAACATATCACAATTGAAATAGGACTAGTCAACAAGCTAGAAAGGATTTTGATTTTCATATGGTAATAAAGATCACTGTTACTTTATCTGTTGTTCTATACTTGAGCTTACTACTGGAAATACTCTATTAATTTGAAAACTAACAAATGTTCCCCAGATAAGTAAATTATAGAGTATTTAAGCCTTAAACCCAGGACCAAGTGGACCTAAACCCCTGCACAGATGTAAAAACATGCACACCCAGCGACCTCTGGCCTTGTATTTGGCCTCTTTAAAGATACAAGACTGTTGGATCAAAGCCTAACTGTTGGATCAATGCTGGTGACTGTCAGTCCTCACTGACATCTGAGAAAGTGAACGTTAGTCTGGGAATGTAAATGGTGCCTCCAAATAATGCAGCACCTCTGAAGAATTGGATTGCATTGCCAGAAATGGCAAGCAGCCCAATTCTTCTTCTGGAGACTTAAAACACTGATAGTCTTCTTGACATCAAAATACTGTCAAGTGAGCCATTCAGTAACAAAGAACAAGGTCTAAAGAGAATACTTTGATGATGCAAAGCCAATGAGAAATACTGTCTGAGAGGGAAAAGTGTGTGTGTGGAAGACTGTGCCTTATGTTTCTGTAACAGTATATATACACTACATGTATGTGTACTTATATATATCTGTATACACTATATATGTGTGTATTTGTACCTGTTTGCAGGAGGACATAGAGGTGGCACAGGCACTGGGATTTAAAAAGCAGACGCAACTTTTCCATGAAGCCACTTCTCCAGTGCCAAATTTAATTCCAGCCAGTATGTGGATTTATTATTGCAACACAGACCTGTCACAAGACACATCTTTGCCTACCTGTGAGGCTTTTGCGTCATGTCTCAAAGCCCAAAAATGTCACTGGAAAAACTTCCAGTGATTTCAGTGGCTTTTAACTCAGCTCCAAGAATTAATGTGAATGAGGGTTGTAGGGTTCTAGTTACTAATAACTACTGCAGTAATAAATTACATACAGTTTACATTTCAGAGCAGGTGGTTTGCTAAGTTGTTTGATGAATTCTTGTATTTATCACCCAATTTTGTACCTAAAGTACAGGAGCTGTGGGAATCCTTAACTTTTATAAGATAAGCCTATAAACTGAACCTACAAAACAGGTTTAGTTTTCAGCATTCAGCTTCCCTACAACCATTAAAGTTGAGTTTGTGTGACAGCATGTGCCTATTTCTTTTACATGGCAGACTGAAAACAGAAACAGAAGTGCCGTGCTAAGGAGGCAGCAATCTGAAGGCTACGTGAGTAGCAACAGAACAAAAGTCCTGTTCCCAGCGGCTGGCTCCCTACAGCCTCTGATACCAAATTCTCCATCTCCAGAACAAAATGTCAGTATCTCTCTTTTAAAATGACCGTCAGTACTTACAGCTACAATTATACAAACCTCTTGTTGCGTTATACTATACAGCAGGATGAATTACTGATGGGTATTACGGATGTGTATTACAGAACAGCATATACTATCTCTGTTTAGAGATCCACTGAGGTACTCTCCAAACAGATTTCAAAAGGTTTCCATTTTTAACTGCCTGGAGAATACAAAACCCATACATGTATTACTTTCTTGCTAACATTTTAAAATAAGTAGCAAAGAAGCAGAATTACTATTCCACCATCCAGCAGTCTGTGAAGCCTGTGGCCTGGAAAGTGGATTGGACATCCCACAATGCCACATGACACTTCAAGTATGAGAATTTATGTATATAAAAATTACCTAAGGAGGCAGTGCAAAGTTTTCTACAACTCATTTTCCCAATACTTCTGACTTAAGTTTACAGATCTAAGCAATAGTGCTTTTTAATCTGGACAACATATTTCCTCCACTTGGTAGATCTCTCCTTGGCAGCATCTTTTGCTTGCTGTAACCCAAATTTTCCAATTCTCAATCTCATGACATTACTCCTACAACATTTCTTTGCCCTTGTAGTGCCCTAAGTAATTCATACTCCCCCTTAATGTTTGAAGTTTTTAAGTATTTTCAGATTTACTTCTGTTGGGCATCTGAGTCAAATTAATATATGCGTGTTTGCCCCCACTCCTTAAATAACAACCAAATATGTCTGTTGGTTGCTTTTCCCATTTAGCTTTTTCCTCTGACTTGGCAACCTTTAAATGAGGTGTTTGAACCACGGGCATGCTGAAAGTTCAAAATGAGTGTGAGAGGGGAAATACACATTAACAACTGTAGTTTTATTTCAGCAGCTGCTACAGTAAGGATGTTGAAGAATAAAGGACCCCAGGATTTAAATGATTAGGAGTTAAGTGATCAGTTCCGATTATGCTTACCTCATAACTAAATAATGGCTGCCACCATGTAATTTGACAAAAATTGGTATTCAGCCCTCAAATTCTTTAGCTGGAAGATTAATAACGGTATTGGTTCTGGATGTAGCACTGGATTTGTAAGTGAGTCAACCTTCCAGTAAGGAAAATGCAGATAATGTCACTTGATATATGAAGCTTTTAAGGAACTTTGTATGGTCATTGGTGAAAGCTAACTTAGAAATATTTTTTACAGCTGTGAAGAATGATCAGACACCACAAGCAAGCCAAATATATTATGAAATAATACCAGTGTTGTGCCCCAGTGCTAAGAAGGTTGAAAAGTTTGCCTTTGTACACTGGGTTTGAAGATGATGACCATATTTGCTTGAAAAAAAAACATTTGGATTGCCTTCATTACACGTATCTCATTAAAAAGCGTTGTGGAATATGTTAACACTTTGTATAAAACCAAGCTGTAGATTAGAATAGTTGCAATTTATTTTGTACCCTGACTTACCACGTAATCTATAAGCTCTGCAAAATAGTAAAAGAAAAGAAACATAGTGTACACAAGCAACTTTATTTTGCTACTTGCTATTCTCAAACTTTAATAGTAGTATGAAAATATGAGCTGAAAGTGGGAAACTTAGAGGATCACAGCAGAAAAGGTGCACTAATTTCAGGGTTTATGCCCATTAAAAATAGGAACTACCACCATAATTTTTTCTTTTTTTTAATGTTTTATAAAATAAAGAGCTGCTTCTGTGAAAGAACTGGAGGAAAAATACTCTAAAGAAAGCCATGGCACATTAAACTAGATTAAACCACAAACTATTAGTCAGATGTAGCCAGTCACCAGAGAAGACACTGGCAAGTCCTGTTGTAGATAAGAGCATAAAAAAAGTCCATTTTGGTAAGACTGTAACTGAAGAAAACCTAACAGTTGTTCTAAGTAGTGGTATCGGCTGAATTTCTCACAGGACTATTGACGTTTAGCAAACGTACCTGTGCTTGCAAAACACATGCAAAAAAAATATTCTTGATCTTAAAACTTCTTTGAGAATCCTTAAACAACTGCGTTTCTAGAGGGGAGGGGGGATTTATTGTCCCATCCATCTCCCCCTCCCCAAAGTGACATTTTACAACCAGTTGTCCATCACTAGGTTAGGCTGAAAAGCCAATAGAGCCATATATTGTTCCACAGACTCCTCACAATAGACAATTTGGAGTTTATTTTCTAGTGTTAAAAGTCTATAAAACAATGTTTAAATTAAACCCAAAAGCACTGAGAGGACATACACGAAGCACTGTTATACTAAGGGTTTATTCACACTCACTGGAAAGAGCTGTGTAACTATTTTTGCTATTTGAGTGAAACATTTATATTTGACAGCCAAATTGAATATTCAGATTAAGCACCTCATTTTACCACAACACTGAAACTCTGCTTCCAATTCATAATATAATATTCCTAAATTAAATTAATTAAAACACAAAAACATTTTTGACTGTTTACCCATAATAGTTTTGTGTGTTTTAAAGCATTTAGAAATTTTGCTGGGTGAACTGTATCTACTTCTGAATGATGAACCCGAAGTATTTAATTCTCAAAAGGAAAAAATGTGTTCACTTACATGATTTCTTTTGTTTTCTCCATCTCTTACAGACGTAATAACTGTCTCAGAAAAAACTGTTGATCCAGTTTTGTTATCTGTAACCTGATATGGCAAAAGAAATATAAAATATCAGACTATACTTTTTTATTAGTCTTTGGTTACTTTCAATCCTGCATTCTGCAATAACTAAGCAACTCCTACCCCCCTCCTTTTTTTCCCACTTTGTTGTCACTCATATAAAATCCTAATCTGGGGGGCAAACATAGATGACAATGTTAACTCCTTATCTATTTAAAATGTCACTGCAATTAAGATAACTGAGCAGGAGATGGTCATTCTTTTATGACCCATGTAATAGCTGTACCTGTGTTCTATTTTTAGCAGACATTTTTTTCAAAATAAACTATTATTTCACATTAACCTTTTATGACATATGCCCCTACACAGTGATTGGGCAAGCAGATAAGATACAATAAAACCCCAAAGTAATTATCATCAGGAAAGTTTATGCTCCAAATTATCTTATTTGTCCACAAGAGGTGCAAAATTGGTTTTATTTTTGAAGAGAAAGTTGTGTAAGAACCAGCAGTTTGCTACATATGTTTTCTCATACCTTATCAATTTCTTGATGAGTCTGAACAGTTTTGTTACCAATTCTGATCTCCCTGTTGGACTCATTATGATAGTTGGGAGGTAAGTTTTCAAAGTTTACTTCCGCAAGTTTTTTTGCCCCTTCCTCTTCAGCTTCCATCTGTCAAATTTAATAAACCAATTTAAAATTAGCAACAATTACACAGAAGAGGACAAGCAACACTTCTTGTGCAGCCTTCAGTAACTCCCTGTTTAATTACATGGTGCTGTTAGTACAGATCTCCCTGTATGGGAATGCTGACTCAGCTGTTTCAGTGACCACAGCAGCTCTTTCAATGCACTAGAAAAACAGTGGAGCACTAAAACCGGTGAGCTCTGGACTGTTTAAGCCAAAGTCAGTTACTGTGAGGAAAAAGTGTGCAAAGACTAGTGACAATTTGGTATCTGCACAGGCTGATGCCAGTCAAGAGCCCAACCTTCTATTTTTCCCAGAAACCCACTGAACACTTAGACAGACTTTGCCATCTGACAAAAGAAGAGAAAATATTCTGGCAGAACAAAGAGACATAGCCAAAGCCCCTTGAAGTCAACAGAAGCAGTCCTATAGAGCAGGGTGCACACATACAGAATTTAATTCTCTACTTCAGTTCCCTCTGTCTTTCTTTGCTAGATGAAGACTCAGCATAGAAAAGGAGTGTGCTCTGAATCACAGAACACAGTAAGCTCAGCAAAAGGGCATGAGTGTTGTAAACAACACAAACTCTGAACACGTAGTGTCCCTTTGTTATTTGCAACTGCTGTTAACAGAGATAGGAGGCCACAAGTTAAGTCAGGCTGAACAACAGAATTTTTCCCCAAGACAAAAATTTCTCTTTGTGGTGTGTCTGTTTATTTTAAAGGACAGCTGCAAACCTTTCTAACTGTTTGAATTTATCTAAGATGCAGCTCAGACTGTCCACATTTTGTGTTGTATACAGACTTCCGCAATCCAGAACCGACTATAGAAAAACAGGCAGAAATTTTTATTTACATCCTTATTTATACCTAAGGATATTTTCAGAATTACGAAAAATACCGAAAAACGAACGGTTTGTCTCAATGTGTTTGCAGTCTAAATGAAGTGGATGACAGAAGTAGATTTCAGCAACTGTGCAGATGACAGTAAACGTTCAGAAATTATATTATTATAGCAAACAATGATCCGTTTCCCCAGTGGGTTGTGAGTAAAAGGTTTCTTCAGAATACCTATTTTTGAACAAGAAAATAGAACTAGGAATGAAGATTGTTAACATCAATGGGGGAAAAAAAAGCATTGAATTAAGGGGAGTGCAGGAAGAAGATCTTTTGATAGTGATATGAGATAATGGCTCGGGGTCTAGACTCAGTTCCTGGCTTCAAAACAGGTCCTGTGTGAATCTGGGCAAGCAATTTGAGATCAAGACTCAGAATTACATCAGAAGTAAGTGTCTTCTCTGCACGTGTTTCCAGGATTTACATCTCTGAACCCTGGTTTGGGATAACCTTGTGTTTTAGTTCCTGCCGCACAAAGGCAATAAAGCAGCCCTTCGCTCCTTCCCTTGCCACGCACAGTTATTTTCTCACTTTAGGATGCAGACGGACTACTTGCCTGCATTTCTGCCTCCCTACCGGCCCGCACTGCTGCGAGAGGGCGGCTTCCCACCGCGACCCCCGGCGCCGCAACAGCCGCAGCCGGCCAGCCCCCCGCCGCAGGGACGCGCAGCCCCGGGGCGGAAAAGCCGGCCAGCGGGAAGGCACCGCGCCACAACCCCGCGACAGACCTTGCTCCGCCGCCGCGGCCGCGCCGGCAACGCCCTCGCCACCTCCCGCATCCCCCCCTGAGAAGAGCGGCGGCGCCGGGCGGGCGCCGAGCTGAGGGGATTTTCGCGCCGTGCGCCGCCTCGCGCCGCCGCCCCTCACGGCCCGGGCCGCCGGCGCGCTGTGCCGCACGCAGGTGGGGCCCGGCCCCCCTCACTCCGCGGGGCTCCCGCCCCGCCGCCCCCGCTTCACCCTCACCTCTTGCACCGCGTTGCGCAGCTTGTGCTGCGTGTCCTCCATCAGCGCCTCCACCTCCCGCAGCATCTCGCCCAGGCTGGCCGCCCGCCGCCGCCCGCCGCCCCCCGCCGCGGCGCAGCACGCAGCCCCCAGCAGAGCCGCCAGCAGCAGCCATCGCCATCGCCGCCGCGGCCTCGGCCCCGCTCCCCGCCGCATCCCGGAGGCGCCGCTCCCGCCGCTGCCCCTCAGCGGTGCGGGCTGGCGGCGCGGAGGTGGGGCGGGGCGGGAGCGGGCGGCTCCGCAGCCTCCCGCCGGCCCACATCGGGCTGGCCCGGCCCCCGCAGCCCCCCGCCGGCTCCACAGCGCCGGCCCGGCCCCTTCAGCCCCCCGGGAGGCAAGGCGGGGTGCGGAGCCCCGGGCAGAGAAAGGGCTTGGCCTGGGGCGGGCGGGAAGGACAGAGGGGGGAGACGCTGAGGGAGGTGGGGGGAGACGCTGAGGGGAAGGAGCAGGAGGACTTTCCCGTTAAGACCTTCCTTCTGTTGATTTTTTGAACAGTTTTAATGCGAAGAGGATGGTGGGAGCTGCTTGACATCTCTGTTACATATTTTTCTTTCCAGTCTTCAGCGAAGGTTTTCAAAAGATGTTTTCAGCTCTGAGGATGAACTAGGCCTCTGAGAGGTGACAAGTTCCACATGTGACTGGCCCGCACCCCACTCTCCCTGTTTGTATACTTTCAAACTTTTCTCTAAAAAGTTTCAGACATCATCATCATCGTTTTTTATCCGTGTGCATCTTCTTCTCCAGTTACATTATTTTTCTTCTTCATATGCTGCACCCCAAGAATTTCATGGACACTTTTTTGCTGCAGTCAGCTGGCTGGTCTGGGGCAACATTGTTGTGCCAAGAGAGAACTGACCTAGAAGTCTTATTTTATTTTGGAGCCTGGGTGAGAGGTAACTGTGAGTAAAGTATTTCTGCACAAACTATTTAACTCCTGAACATTTCCTGCAAGTGCATTATTACAGTAGTCATCAGTATAAAATCCAGTGATAATGGCATCCTAATGCAGCTTCAGTCATCTCTGATTGCTAGCAGAAATGCAATAAAGAGTGGTGGAGATGGGAAGGACCCTTTGTCCCCATAGGGAAACCCTTCCCTCAGTATCGCAGCCACAGGACGTCATACTTCTACTCAGTGCTGCAGAAGGTTTCGTTCTGGATACACCATAAATCCTGGTTTATTGCTACAAGAGCTTGTTTTTTTAAAATGTAAAACTCTTGGACTATACAATTTAAGTAATAATGTTAGGAGTTATCTGGAGTGAATTAACAGTTTAACTATGTTCTGTTACATTGCAGGAGGTATGACGTTTCCTGTACTTGCAGAGAAATGTTTAAACAACGTACTCCTCTTTTCCACCTCTGTCTTTATGGTTAGGTTTCCAGTTCATCCACTGCTTCAAATCAGCTTAATAATATTGATAATGTACAGGTGACACTTAAGTATCATTTCAATTTTAATTTTCTTAGCTTTGATGAGTAAGTGAAGGTTAGATCAGACACAATAAAAACATTAAAAAAAAAGACCTGAGGCCCAAATTCCCAAAGGTATTTAGTCATCAAACTTCCAAGGAAATGGAATAGAAGCTAGACGCTTCTTTGTAATAGCTTTGTAAATTTGGGCCTCAAGCCAATTTTCCAAACAATCTAAACATATGTAACTGTTAATTGCCTAAATACTTTAGAAGAGGTGGGTCTAAAGAGCTCTTGTAGTGAGATGAGGGCCACAGTCCCAAACCCTGGCTTGGCAAGACCCTCCCATGCTGCCTTTGATGAAAGTGGTTTAAAAAACCCAACCCTGGCATTGACAGGACTGACAGGATATAAAGTCATGCATTGTTTCACCAATTAACAAGATGCTGCAGCATACACTTTATTGGGTATTGTTGCAGTAAATTAAGACTACATGCATCTTTCAATATTGGGAAGTACTGTGGAATAAGGTCACAATGCAATCACAGTTACTCTGACTGTTTTCACATATTTGAACTCAGTTTTCCTAGCTCCTTCAAGTGAGCTTTCTTTGGACGGGGATTGAGCAGAGTCGTGAGGGTGCATTTGTGTCCCAGAATGGAAGATCTGCATGTGAAGCCAGTGCAGAGTAGCTCTTCTGGTTTTCTGCTGTCAGCTTGGTTTACTTCATAATAACTTCTTTGTGCACACAAGGCTTTACACTATGACTACAGCCAGGTGAACCAAAAGATGTCTTCTAAGCTCAACCTGCAGCACCCTAGAGCACCTGCTTAGATTTGCACTTTGCCTTGGAGCTGCTGAAGTCTCTTGCATCCATAACTGTGTCTGCAGGGACAGCCATGGGCACAGGGGTGGTGTGCCTTTCTCATATGTTGAGCTGGCGAGACACGAACCTGGTCTAGTTCACCGTGACCCCATGCTGCACCTGAGCTCATTAGCCGTACTGAAAGGCAGGTATGTACATTAGGGCACAGTGCTGTGCTAGCAGCCTGACAGGATTCCCAGCTTGATTAGGTTCTTCCTTGCTTTTGGAGCTAGATGTGTTTCCCCTCAGTATTGCTTGATCTGCTGGGTACAGGGACGTTGCAAACTAAGAGGGAAAAATTGTCACAGATGGTAGTGCACCTAAAACTTAGGATTTGTAATGACTAATCTGTATCTTCCTTCTTGGCGCAGACCTGAGTGCCTATGCAAAAGGATTTGTCTACATGGAAAATTTTGGGGATGCAGATTTTTTTCTAATATGGTTGCATTACTATAAACCCCCAAGTCTGTACTCCTACTTCAGTACCTGGGTACTTTTTTGATTTACAGTTAAGCATGCAGCTAACATAAGAGCTATTACTGGTTGATTTTTCCTTCAGCAGAATTTGAATGCTCATGTAGAAAATTGCACCCTTATAGCTATGTGTACAATAGTACAGAAAATACGTACACTTGTATAATTATACTGACATACAACCTAGATCAGGGCCTTAGGTACTTTAATTACTTATACTGAAAACATTAAACCTAGATTATCTCCCACTGAGGTCAAAGGATTAGAAGCTTGTAGTATCGATCACATCTTCTGGTCATATGTTCTACCATTTTTATCTTGTGTGACTAAAGCAACAGTGACAACCACAAAAAAAAATTTAAAAGGATTCAAATTCATCTGTATTTAATGTAATGGAACCCTATAATGAGGTTATCTCCACTGCATTTTTACAGCAGAAAGCAAGCCATGTCTTTGTTGAAAATACTTCTTCTATTTAATAGTGTGCTTCTGAGGACATAGGATTAACTATGAATAGTATGTTTTTGTGTTGGACTGGGACAAAGTCTTGTTTAAAATTATGTTAGGTAAAAGAGAATATGTTTCGTTCTGTAACAAATTTTCAGTTAGAGCTGATATTTTTCTAAGACAAACTAACAGAGCTAGAACATCTCTTCCTGAAAACATATATTACACAAAAAAACTACATTACACAAAACACATACGATCTTTTTGCCAAGCTATAATTTATTCTTAGACATTAATTTATTAATTTAGAAGGACAGAATAAACTGGAATAATTTTGGCTGAAGACATAGTTAGGAAAAACATATCTCAGAGATATTACATAAATGAATTGAGAAGACTTAGGTCAGCCTCGATACAAGACCCTTTAAGTGGATTTGAGGCAAAAATCGCCCCCCGTCATGGTGAATGCGCTCTTGTCAAAAGCAGACATCATCTGAATCAGTGATTCTGGAGAATAGAAACCACCTTCTGGTTGGATGAGTTTTGAGACAAAAGACCACGTTTCTGAAAGCAGCAGGGTAGGGAGTTGTGCGTGTTGGATTTATTTTTTCCCACACATTGTTTATTCATTTAAAGGCAGTATATTCTGCTTTCTGTGTTTCAAACATATTATTTCACATGTTCATTTAACAATTAATTGAGTTCTTTTCCCTCTCCACCATTGTACTGCAAACAATCACTCAATTAGCTACAGAAAAAAATAGCAAGATGTCTGACTAATATACAACCACTAGTATGAAAAGGCAGCCTTACGAAGTATGCATGTGTAAACATCAAATATATGTACAACAAAGACAAAGTCTATCACCAGCAGGCAAAAGTTCCAGGAACTGAAACCCTAAATTCCCTGCTGAAGGGGAAAGAAGAGCATGAGGGAGGGACAGGAGAGTTAAGCGAGGGAATTAACACCAGTGAAGTTTGCCATTTCTACCATTTTAAGCCATGTGTGTCTCGACTGCTGATGTGAGCTTCCCCACAGAGGCACTACCACACGGCTGGGGTCAGGCCGGGAGGGCTGCCGAGGCTGATACCGCCGAGGGACCCCTGCTGCCCGCCTGACCCTGTCACCTGCAGAGCCAGTTTCCCTTTACTCCCCTTACTCTCTGCAGTGCTCCTTTCCCTTACTCCCCAAGCATGCAGGACACCTACACCAAAGTACCCATTTGTGGCTTTTGGCCCTGGATGATTTTGATACAAGTCTCCTGGGAAAGCTGGCCAGTTGAGGGATGGGCAGGCAGTGGAGGATCATAGTTGACGTCCTGCGGGAGACTGTGTCGTGCCAACGAGCCCCTGCTAACAGCAGTTTGAAAGGCCAGGTATGACAGCAGCCATGGGCAAATCAAAGTCCGTGCAGCTATCTGACCAAGTGGAATAACAACAAGTGACAAACCAAATGCTTATGGTCTGCAGTGAGTTTATATATCAATACTACAGGCTTGAAAAATATTGTTTAGCATGTCAGCAGTAAGTTTAATTCCCCAGTGAAACTGATTGCTTTATTAGTACAGTATCAGTTAGGGGTTTTCCATGGGAGAGAGACAGATCAAGATGTGATAACAGTGTTGGTTATCTCTACTCTTTTGTTTATCTACCACTCATTTGCTTTTTCAGATTCCTTGGATTTACAAAGCTTTGCATTGTAGTACAAATATTTTTCTACTCACATGAGGTTTTATAGTATGGAAACTTGTAAATGTCAGGACTGAATAACTGTAAGTATAAAAAACCACAGTTATTTTGCTGGGTCACCTCAGTGTTTAACTTTCTGGCCATTTTCATAGGTTAGACATACATAAAATTTTTAAGCTCAGTCTGACATTTAGGAGATTTAGGAAAGATTTGGGAAAGAATTAGTGATTTCAAAGCAATTAGAGCAGAATCATTTAATGATCATAGTTTTGTCAGGTCTTGCTCAGGTAAATAGGTGTTAAGGACACTGAAATGCTAACATATGTTTGGGAGAAGCCTGGCTGCAATGAG